AAGAATGGACTAACAGTTACCAAAGGGAAAGGGACTGGGGAGGATGGGTGGGAAGGGAGGGATAAGGGTGGGGATGAAAGGGGGCATTACGATTAGCATGTATAATGTGGGGGGGGGCACAGGGAGGGCTGTGCAACACAGAGAAGACAAGTAGTGATTCTACAGCATCTTACTACACTGATGGACAGTGACTGTAATGGGGTTTGTGCGGGGGACTTGGTGAAGGGGGGAGCCTAGCAAACATAATGTTCTTCCTGTAATTGTAGATTAATGATATAAAAAAAAACAACTTGGTAATATATAAAGAGAGCCTTAAAAATATGCATTAGAAAAACAAAAAAATCTTCCAGGGTATTTATAAACTAGATGTTGTAGACATCAAGTAAGAAAGATGCAGAGATATGGCATGTCAGAAATGTTCTTATGGCCAACGTTAAACAATGCCCAAAGTGTATTTTTACTTTATTTCTGGCAAGAATCATGTCTTCAGCTTGCTCAATTAATGTGATGTTCTTATAGCTCTTATCTTGTAAATGTTTCTTATGTTTCAATTCCTTGTTATTTCATTCTGCTTTACATTTTAGTAATTGTTTTATATGCTTGCTTCCCACTTTGGTATAAAATTCATGTGACATGACAGCCATGTCTAATTCATACTGGAAACTTTTTGTGTGTGAAGGAATGTGTTTCCTCATAGGCTATGGGGATGAGGGGAGCCAAAGACTGCTCATGATGTTGAATAGTAGTATTAAGAGTAACAATTAGTTTTTAATCTATGCTCTATTTACCTGACTAACTCGTTTGGAAGGTCTTCCTCTTCTTCTGTTAGTAGGATTGAAGATAAATGTGGGTGGATCATCAGGGAAGAAATAAGAAAAATCTTGTTCTGCTATTTTATATGTTGAAAGAGAGGATGCCTTCATAAAAAAGACAAAGGGCATAATAGTAACACATTAGTAAACCATATACAGATGTGCTCTAACATGTCATGATTGCTGCTAAAGATCAGGTAAAAAACATTAGGATTTCATGTGTTCCTATGTAGCAATACACATTCTAGTTGGTTTACTTGATCCTTTTAAAAACTATGTAATTAATCAGTTCATCAGAAAGAAAAAACTGGCAATTCAAAGGATTACTTCACCATAAAAATACTCACGGGTGTTTTAGTTTCTTGAATTCTAAAACTATTTCAAAATTATATTTATACAACACTTTTTGTTTGCTTTGTTTCTGATTTTATATGAATTTTTCTATGTAAATAAATAATCCATATATTTAACATTAAAAAGCCACTGTATTTATCATAAAATTTTTAAAAATTTCCTAACAGCTGAAAATTTAGATTTGGCTCCCCAGTGTGCGGTGATAAATACTTTATGTATCAGATTCTAAAGTTGGTCTGGATAAAAGCAGAAATACTGACAAATTCCTATGAAGTTTTAACTCAGAATTTAAGTTCAAAGAAGTGAACCTCATTTTTACCAGAAGTGGTGTGGTTCCAGGATAAGTGCTAAATCCAAAAGAATTGCTCTCTTTTAACTTTGTATTCAGAACTTGTTCACCTTTTATCCATGCCAAATTCTGTACTATTTATTTTTGTTAGCAATTCTGAAGATTATTTTTGATCTAATAGCCATGATCATTTTTTTCTCTTGAAGAAAATATGTACCATTTTAGAAATATCTTTCAGGAAATGTATAAGAAAATAATGATACAAAATCCAAAATTATTAATAAAACAGGAATACTTCTGGGAATTCAATTTTCTGTATAATTTTTGTTGTTGTTAGAACATAGTTGTTAACACCTAAAATTCAATCAATTCTGGTCATAATAAATCAAGAATCTACTGAAATTTTTACATTAAATTCCAGTAAGATGGTCATCTGCTATCCCATATAAAAAACTCTGAATATACACAGAATTAATTGTCCTTTAAGTATGAACATAAAGCATATGGGTGGTTTCTTCTGAAACATACATGCTCAAAAAAAGGTCAAAACAGGCTTTAACACATTAATTGCCAAGATTCCTTATTCACATACACATAACATGCAATAAATATAAATATTCACATCTTTGTGTTTTTGTAGGTACTCCTAACAGCCTATATTCACCATACTGGGTATTAAACTGCTGTTTTGGGGTGTATGTGTGCATGCATGCTCTTAGTGTGCAAATAACCAGAATAGACACTAACAATCTTTCATTACACTCTCAGGGAAAAATGGTTACTGTCACCTTTATTTTCATTTATTTATTAAGTAAATTTGAACTTCTTTTTTATTGATTTTTTCCCCCTGGTGAATAACTGCTGATGTCACTTACCGTTTTTCCCAATTAGCATGTTTTTGTTCATTGATGTGTTCACTGATATTTAAGACATTTTTGTAAATTTCGGGGGCTGGCTAACTGGTTATTTATGATACACATATTACAATTATTCATATATTCACTGACTACCTACCAAAAGCCAGCACTGCTCCAGCCACTTATCACAAGTATCTAAATCATTAACTTTTATAAGCACCATTTTACATGGCTACCTGATAATCAGTGCTACAGACAGCAAATAATTTAAGCAATCTCTTTTTCTTCAGAGGAGTACATAAATATGCTTACATTTGAAAGACATATTTCTTCCAGATGATTTTATCTTATGTTTTTAAGTTTTTATATTTCATACACTGAATTTTTATGTCTATTTTTGCCTATTTTTCTACTGTGGTTCTTAAGGTTTTCTAATTGATTTGAACTCCTCATTTATTCACTGAAAGTGTTTTTCCTTTAGCACTTGCCTTTGGAATCTATTCATGACATTTTCAAACCTACATATGTTTATATTGTTAAATCAGTCTCATCCTTGGTATTTTTCTATTGCTACTCTTAAGTATTTGAGCATGAATAACATTAAGATTTGTTTAATTAATTTTCTTTATGTGTTAGATCTAACTTATTTTTCCAAATAGTTGACTATGTGTCCCAGTTTTATTTATTAAGTAACTTTTCTTGGTCTCTAGAGATTTGAAATGCTACTTTTCACATAGAGTAAACTCATATATTCTTTTTATTTCATTTATTTTTTGATTTACCATTTACATATAATGAAATGAACAAATCTTAAGCATATAGTAGCTGACTTTTGATACTTATACACATCTTTCTAACCCATTCTATTGCTTTTTTACTTAGTGTTTCTCTTCCAATACAAGTTTAATATTTATTTTTAAAAATTAGCTTTAATTTTATCATTTAACTCTTTACTTAGTATAGAATGTGAGTTTTCTAGATTGTTTCCCTCTTAATGGTTATGAATAAAATATAATCTGCCTACTGAGTACTGGTCTCTGACGTTCTCTTTATTATAAATATTGTTCTCCTATCTAGTAGGATCTATTTTAGCCATTGTTCTTTGAATAATTTTTGTGAGTCAGAAACAAACTATTAGAACTATAGTTATTCCATCCCTATAATTTTTCTTTTTCCAAGTTTTCTATCTATCCTCACCTGTCCTGGATTCTTTTCCTTTTTTTTTTTT